ATAGAAATTTTCCTCATCTAAATTCCTTTTACTCCATTCATTTATTTGCCTGACATCATCTCCTGAGCTCTGCTGTGTATTAGTCCCCACTATGGGCTTTATTTGTATCATCTAATGTCATCTTCACAGCAGCCCTCTGGTGTCCAAAGGGACCAAGTAAATCAGGTAACTGGTACACAGGTTTTTCAGCAGGGGCAACACCAGTGTCAGAAAGACAGAGGTGGCCACAGAGAGTGCATGGAGTGGGAGGGGCTAGAAGGAGGAAGGCCATGTTCTAGTATCTAACAAGGACTTGGACTTTCCCCATCTTCCTCATTTCAGTAAACAGTATCTTCATGCTAGAAGTTGTTCTAGCCTAAAACCTTGGCATTGCCCTTGACTTCTTTTCTCCTCTTAAACCCTACATTAGCAATTCATTTCTACACTAAATTTATTCATAAAATACATACATGAGGCAGACCTACTTTTGTTCTCTTCTCCCACTCTCACCCCAGTGCAAGCCACTCTCATGTGTCTCATCTGGGTGATAAAGTAGCCTCTTGTCTCCCTGTTCTTACTTTGGCCCCTTCCATTCCCCAGTCTGTTCTCCACGCTGCACTGGGAAGGAGGCTTAAGAGGCTCAAACCTTCAATAGCCCCCACCAGTCAGAGACTGAGATCCAAAGTCTTTACCCTGTGCTGTGAGGCCTACATAACTGTCCCCTGACGCAATTCCTTCTGCTACCACTCTTCCCCAGGATTACATGTTTTGGTCCTACGGCCTTCCGCTCTTCTTCAAATATGCTAAATACACTGCTGGCTTGGGCTTTCGCAGTCACTGTTTCCTCTGCATCTGCAGGAATATTCTCCTTCAAAATACCTACCTGGCTCACCCCCTTACTTCATTCAGATCTCTGCTCAAAGGTCTCCTTTTTAAAGAAGCTTCTCAGCACACCCCAGCTGAAGCAGCCCCACCATGCACGCTACCATATTTCCGTTTTATCTCCTTGGTAGCATGTTATCAATTCCTGGCATCACATGTCTATCTGTTTGTTCATTTATTGTCTGTCGCCTAACAGGCTCCTTGAATCTGGGAACCTTGTCTGGTCTGTCCACAGCTCCTCACTGAACAGCAGCACCTAATGCTCAATAAATATGTGCTAAATGAACGAAGGAAGCAAGATAAGACTATAACTTTGGTGTACCTTACAGATCAATGTAGGAATTTTTGGCAAGGTTTGGGGAAGGTTCTTCTGGCAGTTAGCAACTGTGTATGGAAGATCTAGATGTTTGAGGACACTGTTGAAGCTATTAAAAAAGTATAAAGCTACAAAATATTTCAAACTTTATGTTATTTAGGGGAGAAGAGATGTAAGTATTAATAGACAATAACATACTGCAAGTGAGCTAGGAGGACTCTATCAAAATATAAGGGATTCTCATATCTCTATGTCCAGCCCAACTCTATTCCCAAGCCAGTACTTCCAACTGTCCACCTGATGATATCTATACCTGGATGACGCACAGGTGACTCAAACTACACATGTCCCAAATCAGACGCATCACTTCTCTCTCCTTAGCCACTGCCACCACCTACTAATGCTTCCTCCTCCTGGGTTCCCAGACTCTTTTGATAAAACAATAAGCACACAGTCAAGTAAGACAGAAACCACCTTCCAGTCACCCCAGGGTCCCCCTTCACCTCCTCAACACTCAGCCATTCTCAAGATCTACCTCTCAAACTTTTTGCAAAGTCATACCCTTGTCTCTTGCCCCTTCTCTGATTTGATGCCAACTAAGTCTTCTCGTTCCTCCAATCAACCTTCCCGTGGTCAGAAAGGTCTTTCTGAAATGTTTTCCTGCCTTAAGTCCACCAGGGACACCTTCCATCCCCTTCAGGATAAAATGCTCATGTTCTGACAGAGCTATAAAGGGTGCTCTCCACAGAACAAACACTGCCACCCTTATTATCCTCATCTCTCACTGCCTTCCCCCTATTATACCCTAGCAATTCTCTATCCTTTGGAGCGTCTCATGTTTCCTCCCTTCATACTCCAGTACATGCTAAGTACACACTCTACAACACATCCCCATCCCTATCTTGTCAAATGGGGAACTCTAACGTATGCTGCAGCCAGCTGCGGCAGTCCCACCTATGTCAACCCCCTCCCACACTATTCTGCATCTTCTATATTGTTCTTCCCTAGTGCAGTAGTTGTGATTATTTCTCCACCCATATGTCTCCCTCTCTAGTGGCAAATTCCCATAGGGTAAGGTCCACAGATGCTCAACTCTGAGTCCTCAGCATTAGGTCTGGCAGATAATAGGTACCAGATACATGCCTGTTGAATTAAAACTGCCTGTTCCCTGAACACACCTTGTAAAAGATCTTCCCTCTAACTCCACATTATTTAAATAAACTTTTTCATGAGGAGTGGGCCCTCTTACCTTCGGATCTTTGCTCTGACCTGTCCCTCTCCTTGGTACATCCATCTTTCCGTCAACTTTATTTTCTACTTCAGTTCATCAGGAAGCAGGTTAAGACCCTCAGGCTCACCACATCTCCAAATGCTCACACCTCAGGGTCTTCGAACCTGCTCTACCCCCTACTTGCAATACTCTCAGATAGTCCCATGACTTGCTTACCCCCTACCTGCAATATTCTCAGATAGTCCCATTATTCAAATATACCTGTCCTCCCTTAGGAAACAGTCCTGACATCACATTTTTTTAATCTGTGCTTTTATTGCTAGTGGTGCCCTCCATATGCACATCAGTTAAATGAAGGCAGGCCTGTCTCATTCACCACTGTATCTCCATGCCCACAACAGTGCCAGTAACATTCATCTAGTTCATATTTTTTTGAGCACCTACTGTGTGCCAGACCTAGGTGCTAGGAATACATGAGGGAACAAAACAGATAAAAATCCCCTCACTCATATTCTACAGGGAGAAGACAACAATATGCAAGAAAAATACGTAAAATGTAAGTGCTAAGAACAACTGAAGAGACGAAGGGAGGCGGGAAGTGAGGAAAGCCTCACTAGGTGACCCCTAGTAAAGACCTGAAGAAGTGAGTGCAAACTACATGGATATTAAATTGCAAGCACAAGGGGAGAGAGCAAATGAGACTGGGAAAGTAACAGTGGGTCAGATTATGTAAAGCCTTATAGCTCACTGTAAGGGGTTTGTCTATCATTAATAAGATGGGGACTCACTGGAGGGATTTTTTCTTTTTTTTTAATAAAGGAATGGTACAGTCTGACAGCCTGTGTTTTAAGAAGATCCCTCTAGCTGGTATGCTGAAAATAGGAGCCAGGACAGAAGCAGGGAGACCAAGTGGCAAACTATTTCAATAATCCAAAAGACAGGTGGTGACTTAGCCCAGGACGGCAAGTATTATTTGCAGTGCGAAAAAGAGAGGGCTGGGTGTAGTGGCCCACACCTGTAATTCCAACACTTTTGTGGGAGGCTGAAATGGGCAGATGACTTGAGGCCAGGAGTTCGAGACCACCCTGGCCAACATGGTGAAACCCCGTCTCTACTAAAAATACAAAAAATTAGGTGGGCATGGTAGCATAGGCCTGTTAATCCCAGGTACTCAGGAGGCTGAGGCAGAATTGCCTGAACCCAGGAGGCGGAGGTTGCAGTGAGCCGAGATAGCGCCATTGCATTCCAGCCTGGGTAACAAGAGCAAAACTCCGTCTCAAAAAAAAAAAAAAAAAAAAAATTAGCCAGGCAAGGTGGCACACGCCTGTAGTCCAGCTACTCTGGAGGCCGAAACAGAAAAATCGCTTGAGCCTGGGAGGCAGAGGTTACAGTGAGCTGAGACAGCACTACTACATTCCAGCCTGAGTGACAGAGGGAGACTGTCTCAAATAAAAAAAAAAATAAAAAAAAAGAAAAGGAAAAAGAAAGAGAGCAGTCAATGACGTCTCAAAGGTTATTAGCCAGCGTCTTTCCTATTATTGAGATGAAAAAAAAAAAGGCAACAGGATCAGTTTGGGGAGGGTAATAAAGGGGAGCTTGCTAGCCTTCTCTTGACATGTCTGAGTTGCCTATCATCCGATACTAAGTGGGTGGCTGGATAAAGGTCGGGGTGAGGCCTACAATGGAGACATAAATATGGAATCTGTTAGCCTCTGATATGTAGGTATTTAGTGCTATGAACCTGGATGAGATCACCATGAATGAAAATAAAAATATTGCAAACACCAATGCACAAAGGAGGAGAACTGAAAGAAAAAAAGAAGAGAAGCTAGGATGACCAAGGATATCCTCCCACATCTCCCAGAAAGAATACAAAAAGACCCTCGCTTTTGCTCAAAGACAACTCAGTCAAAGCAAAAAATAAATAAATAAAACCTCCTTCCCACACTTAACAGAAGGGCAAACCCAGACCACAGGTTCTGTCAACGGGTCTTTCTCGCTTTCAGCAAAGACTCATGGGCCCGGCCCCATAATTTTTTCAAAAGAAACCCAGTGAACTTGGGCATCGCCTTTGCAGAGAACGGGATGGAGCAGGCACAGAGAAGGGTGGGCCACTCCTGGGTTCCAATCACTAGCATCCTCCTGGATGTACAAAAGACAAGCCAATGGTTGGGAAAAGTTCCACTTGCCCCAAATATCCCTTCCCTCGCAGGGCAACGTCTCCCTAGAGAGTGTGTCCATGACGTGCAGACGAGCAGGCAGGGCGGGCTCGCGGGGCATGAGGTGGATGTGAGAGCAGGGGCGTGGAGCGAGGGCGTCACAGTGGAGAAGGGGGAGTGACAGGCCTAGGTTCTGCATACAGAAAGCGGGCGGATGAAAGGCACCCCCAGGGCAGCAGCCCGACTCTAAGCCTCGGGGGCGGCTAGACAAGGCGTTGTGTCGCCGGCGTTAGGCGTGCCTGGCTGCCCTGAGGAGAACGGGAAGTGTAAGCGGCGGGGCTGCGAGTGTGAGGACGGCGCTCCACCCAGTCACGGGGTCCTGGGTTCAAGGACAAGCCCAGGGTCGGAAGGACGCGACCAGAGACACCCTTACCTTGTACAACAGCTGTCTCCGCCGCTTGGGTGCCGGCTGAAGTACGCGGCCGCCGCTTCTCGCGCCGCTCTCCCCCGCTTCCTGATTGGCCAACGCTGGCCGTTCCCAGAAGCCCCCGCGCGGCGCGCCATCAAACGAACTTTATCGAGACCCGTCGGGGGAGGACAAGAACAGGGGCGGGGAGGAGGCTGGGCCTTGGGCCGAACCGTCACGCCTTGGGCACAGGCAGCCACAGCCTTCACCTTTCTCACTTGATTAGAGTCGGCTCTGTCAGGAGAAAGTGATTCTAGAATTCCTTAAGCTAAAGCAATTTCTTAATCCTTGAGCGCCAAGGGCTGGGCCGTAGTCTACGAGCTGGGAACACAGTGGCGACCACGACAGACAAGATCGCTGCCCTCATGGAGTTCCCAGGCTGGCAGAGGAAACAAAATATAATAAATAAGTAACTGCAGTTTGCAAGAAGAGCTATGAAGAAAAAACAGGGTGATGGGAGAGAGAATGCTTGGATGGTCAAAGGAGACTTTTCTGTGGTGGTGGCGTCTTGAGCTGACTAAAGAAGGATGAGAAAGAATGGAGCTTGCAACGTTCTGGCTTCAAAGAATTCCAAGCAGAGGGAACAAGAGTGAAGTCTCCAGGAGAAGCCAGATTAGTGTTTGGAGACTAGAAAGAAGGGGTGTGTGGCTGGAAGATGGTGAGCGGGGGCAAGTGGGGTCAGACATCCATAGACTGAATGGCTTATACACAACAGAAATTTATTTCTCACCGTTCTAGAAGCTGGGAAGCCTTAGATTAAAGCACCAGCAGATTCAGTGTCTGCTGAGGGCCTGCCTCCTAATTCATAGATAACACTTGATACGGTTTGGCTCTGTGTCCCCATCCAAATCTCACCTCAAATTATAGTCCCAATAATCCCTACATGTCAAGGGTGAGACCAGGTGGAGGTAATTGGATCATGGGGGCAGTCTCCACCATGCTGTTCTCGTGATAGTCTCACAAGATCTGATGGTTTTATAAGCATCTGGCATTTCTCCTGCTTACACTCATTCTCTCTCCTGCCGCCCAGTGAGCAGGTGCCTTCCACCATGATTGTAAGTTTCCTGAAGCCTCCCAGCCATGCAGAACTATGAGTCAATTAAACTTCATTTCTTTATAAATTACTCGGTCTCAGGTATTTCTTCATAGCAGCGTGAGAACACACTAATAAAGTACTCTTCTCTCTGTAACCACACACAGAAGAAGGATGAGGGAGCTCTCCAATATTTCTTGTATAAGTGCCCTAATTGAGGGCTTCACTCTCATGACCCAATCACCTACCAAAGTCCTCACCTCCTAATACCATACCATTGAGGGACAGAGTTTCAACATATAAATTTGAAAGGGAAGGACACAAACATTAAGAAGTCTATAGCAAGTAGTGTCCAACTTTATTTATTTATTTATTGAGACTGAGTCTCACTCTAGGGCTGGAGTGCAGTGGCCCGATATCAGGTTACTGCAAACTCCACCTCCGGGTTCAAATGATTCTCATGCCTCAGCCTCCCAAGTAGCTGTGGTTACAGGCACCCGCTACCACACCCAGCTAGTTTTTGCATTTTTAGTAGAGATGGGGTTTCACCATGTTGGCCGGGCTGGTCTTGAACTCCTGACCTCAAGTAATCTGCCTGCCTCAGCCTCCCAAAGTGCTGGGATTACAGGTATGAGCGACCATGCCCGGCCACTTTGTTTATTTTTAATACCTCACACCAGCATATTGTGAGTTCTCTATAAATAATTGGTGCTGATTAACAATATGTATGGGTGTGGCCTTTGTCCTCAAGCTATTAAATATGTAACAAGACCCTGCTGTGGCCAGAGAATATCCACAAAGATAATAGTGTCTTGCATCTTCTGAGAGATGGGAAAGTTATTCTTCAAAGTTTATATCTTAGACTACATTATAAGGAGTTATAATCTCTTGCTCTATGGCCATTATCTGCTATTAGCATAAACATATACCCATGTATATATTCTCTAAGTCAGCTACATTTTAATTCGGCTACCTTGACTTGCTCCAGCATGTCTGAACAGAACTGGACAAGCTCCAAAATCTGGTGCATGCCATTCCTTATTTGGAAACCTCCTGACCTCCTGACTAGCTTCTTCTTTTTCCTTGTCTTCTTTCCTCTTTATCTATTCAGGAAATTTTCAAGTTTTTAGCCAATCGGGTCAAGCATAGAATGTGAGGTCCCATTCCAGCCAATGGAAACTGGACAAAGCAGTAGGGCAATTGCATTAGGTTATGAAAGTTATAAATGTCCCTGTCTCCTTTGATCAGGTGTGCTCTCATTGCAAGACTGCCAGCGAGTTGCACCCTTTCTGCAGAAAGTAAACTAGTCTTGCTGAGTGATCCATTGTCTCGGTGTTGGATTTTCCCCAACATTATAAACCCATTTCCAGCACATCTGAATAATGTTTCATACTTTTACCTTGCTTTTCCTTTATGTAAAAAAAAGAACTTTTAATGACATAGACAAATGCTTGTGCAACATTGCCAAATGAAAATTCAGGACGCTTGCCTTTTAAAGCTGAATATTTCTACATTGTAAAACCCAGCATTTGTACTCCTAGATATATGCTCTGGAGAAACTCTTACACATAGGCACCAGGAGATATAAGCAAGAATCTTCATAGACGCACAGTTCATGTTAACAAAAACCTTGAAATTAGCCAAAAAAAAAAAAAAATGGATAAAAAAATGGTGGGGTATTATGCAATGGAACATTACGCAGCCGTGAAAAATGAGTGTGCTTTAGCCATAGATGCACCATGGATGAATCTTGAAAATGTAATGTTAATTGGAAAAAGTGGCTAGGCATAGCGGCTTACACCTATAATCTCAGCACTTCGGGAAGCTGAAGCAAGAGGGTAGCTTGAGCCTAGGAGTTTAAGACCAGCCTAAGCAACATGGTGAACCCCTGTCTCTACAAAAAAAATGGCTGGGTGTGGTAGCATGCATCTGCAGTCCCAGCTACTGGGGAGGCTGAGGTGGGAGGATCACCTGAACCCAGGAGGTCAAGGCTCCAGTTGAGTCGTGGTCACACCACTGCACTCCAGCCTGTGTGACAGAGTGAGACCTCATCTCAAAAACCTTGCAGTTTTCCGGATGGTCTTCCCATATTCTTTCCTAGCCCCAGAGATAACCACAATCTGACATTTCCTATTTACCATTCCAAATGTTCTATCACAAATATATCTGTGCATAAACAATATATATATATTTTAAGAGAACTGGATGCATTGGCTCACTCCTGTAATTTCAGCACTTTGGGACGCCAAGGTGGGAGGATCACTTGAGCCTTGAAGTTCAAGACCAGCCTGGGCAATACAGTGAGACCTCCATCTCTACCAAAAAAAAAAAAAAAAATTAATTAGCCAGGCATGGTGGTTCACGGGGCTGTACTCCCAGCTACTTGAGAGGGTGAGACAAGAGAATCACTTGAGCCCAGGAGGCAGAAGTTGCAGTGAGCTGTGATCGTGCCACTGTATTCCAGCCTGGGATACAGAACAAGATCCTGTCTCAAAAGTAAATAAATAAATACACAAGAGACAAAGAAAGAGAGGATATTGAAATATGATTAAGTGGGAATAGTGTCTCTCCTGGCTGGGGGAACCACAAATGAGCCCTTAAAAGCTAGTATACTTTTCAAAGTTTCTCCAATGAAATGACCATGCTCCCTTAATCAGAAAAACATACACTAAAACTGAGCTGGTTGGTTTTGTTTTGTTGGTACAGAGTTACAACCAACACCAGCTTCTCAATATTTGCCCAGGTATATGATTGAAAGAACTTCTTTTGAGGATTCTGAACTCACCTCCAACTCCACTCCATGAACTGTCGTCTTGTCCAAGTGCCACACAGAGAGGAGTTTCTATCTTCTGGTGGCAAGAGCTGTAACAGAGCTATTTCTGGAACTGTTTCTGTCTGTCAATTAATTATGTAGCTTAGAAGAGCTTTCTTAAACATGACTTTATCTGAGCTCAGAATCTTTCAAGAGCCTTTGCCTTGAGAATTGGTCTGTGACGTGCCTCAGAGCTCCTGCAGGGCCCCTTTCTCAGAGGTGGGGATTTTCAAACTCTTTCCTACTTAAAAGACAGCTGGGTGGTGGAGGGGAGTCCTTATCTTCCCTCATTTAGTCCTGCTGGGTCCCAAACATTCTTTAACAGAATCCTGTTTTTCAAAGGGAGTCTTTGACGAAATCTTGTATTGTAACATAGACTTGCATGTCTTCTATATATACCAAGTACGTAACTGTACCTTTTTTGACTGCATGATTATATCAAACAAACACAGGCCTTTTTACTTTTGTCTGGTTGAATTGTGCTTTTTGCTATTCTTAGTCTTCAGATGAACCCATTGAGTATATGGGATGTGCATTCAATACACTATACTGTATTACCAGACGGTGACTCTCTGATAGACATCTGCTATTTTAACACTTCAACTCCCCTGTGGAGCACTGTGGCCCCAAATCTCAGTCCCTGTGTTTTGATTGGTGGCATGTGACTCAGGCCTAGCCAATCAGAGCAGAGTACTGCAGCAGCCTGGCCACAGCAACTGGCCTAGGAATTGGTCTATAACCCAATAGGGTCAAGAAAGTGCCCTCTTAAGATGTTCTGCTCAGACAGTTCTCTTTATGGCTGGAATAAATTAGAACTGTGAAGATGTTTTTGTAAGCATTATCGTTCCTTAAAAATTGTTGTTTAATTGTTTGTTTGTTTATTTCGAGACAGATTCTCACTCTTGCCCAGGCTGGAGAGCAGTGGCACGATCTTGCCTTGCTGCAACCTCCACCTCTCAGGTTCGAGTGATTTTCATGCCGCAGCCCGCGGGCATGTAATAGGTGTGGATTGCCACGCCAAGCTAATTTTTGTATTTTTAGTAGAGATGGGGTTGTATTATGTTGGCCATGCTGGTCTGGAACTTTGACCTCAAGTGATCCACCCTCCTTGGCCTCCCAAAGTGCTGGGATTACAGGTGTGAGCCACCTGTTTAATTGTTTATTATCCACAAAGGAAGAATTTGTCTGGGAAGGAAGACAACATAGAAGAAAGCAATGTAGTGATGGAGAGAGAGCCTGTAGTCAAGTGACATTGTGACACAGCTTCTGGAGTGATGGAGAGAGAGCCTGTAGTCAAGTGACATTGTGACACAGCTTCTGGAGTGATGGAGAGAGAGCCTGTAGTCAAGTGACATTGTGACACAGCTTCTGGAGTGATGGAGAGAGAGCCTGTAGTCAAGTGACATTGTGACACAGCTTCTGGATCACGCTGTGCCTTCTGGATGTTTTGTTGCATGACCTAGAAAATTCCATTTTTTGCTCAGTTTCACTAAGGTTTTATGTCACTTGCAATCAAAATAATCCTGAATGATGTAGGTATTACTTGAGCCCATATAGCATCTCATCTAACATGCTTGTTACAAGGTCAGTAGGCCAGAATTCAGTAAGCTTAATAAGCTTAATTCAGTGAACTTTCCCCAATCAAGTTGCTTTTCCATTACGTGCAATATAGGGAGGCACTTTCCACAATGTTAAGAAGAATATGGCCAGGCACGGTGGCTCAAGCCTGTAATCCCAGCACTTCGGGAGGCCAAGGCGGGTGGATCATGAGGTCAAGAGATCCAGACCATCCTGGTCAACATGGTGAAACCCCGTCTCTACTAAAAATACAAAAAATTAGCTGGGCATGGTGGTGTGTGCCTGTAGTCCCAGCTACTCAGGAGGCTGAGGCAGGAGAATTGCCTGAACCCAGAAGGCGGAGGTTGCGGTGAGCCAAGATCGCACCATTGCACTCCAGCCTGGGTAACAAGAGTGAAACTCCGTCTCAAAAAAAAAAAAAGAAGAATATTTTCACCATCAGATTACATTTTATTCCACCCATTAACAGGGTAACATTAAGCAGTTCCATTTACAAAGA